TATATACGTGTGTATATTTGTTACGGAACCCTCTAATTTTAATCCGCCGTTTCACCATCACGTACATTTTTCGACTCTCTTTCCGTATAATGTGTGCAGCAATATATAATACGAGGTCTAATGTGCGAGGTCCAATATTAACACACCACCGTACCATACTGGTAGGTATAATACTTACGTAGAAATACCCGTGATTATAACATATATACGAGTATTTGTACAGTATAGCGGGTACAGGATCTCAAATCCGCGTGTGTATACATACATTGCAACATATTGTACGCGTAATCGAGAATAATGCTAATACATGTGGGCGAGCGTGTTATTACAAACATATATGTACTGTATCTGTACGTATATCATATGTAATTTACTCCAAAAAACTTGTGCACGAGAGAGAAGAAGGGGGAAGATCAAGCAACCCGTACCTTAAAAGTATGTATCCATATTATATATTTGCGCTTCCAAATTAGCCGTAAAGTCGCGATACTTAAACACCCGACTCGCGCCCAACGTTTACAATCTCGTGTATACATATTGTATACAAGTAGAGGTACTCCCCTCTAATTTTCACAAATGTGAGAACATTTTTGGGTGACGATGAAATGCGGCTCGCGGCGAAAACTGTAAAATGTTACAACAGAGGGAGAGAACACGCGAGAGCCATACCGCGACTTGAAGCTTTGCTGCATGAATGCTATACTTGTATACAAGTACTTATATACACCCACAGCGGAGATTCGCCAAGCTGATTGGAGCACCCTCGGCTGTAAATACATGTATATAAATACTTGTGTGTATATCTTTATGATTTCCTTTTTTTTTCCGAAACTTAACTGGCACGTCGCGAATTTTCAGTCCAACTCTAGTAGAAAAAAAAAAAAAAAAAAAAGTGGAAATCGATAATCATTGTCATTTCATTGTCATTTCATTGTCATTTCATTGTCATTTCATTGTCAAAGGTTAAAGGTCACGCTCAGTGCAATTACACATGAATATTTCAGTAAGTATAACACCCGTGCCTATTTACACGTCTATGTGTATGTGATAATGTACAGTGTGAGTGCACGCGGGTGTACACACACACACACACACACACACACACATATTATATTCATAAACTCAAGCTTTCGCGTGCAAATGAGTACAGCTGAAAACTAAGTAAGTAGTATAACTGCAACATCGAAGGTGTTTCAATTCGCCATGCACGTAACACTCGTACATATATATAATGGGTATCCGAACAAAATCTCTCTCTTTTCCCGCGCCCCCTCTGCCACTATTTGTCCTTCGTGATGCATCGAGAAT